TCACAGACTCCACACACTCATTTACTCACACACACTATCTCACTCACTTTATCACATATTCATTTTCACACCCACTCTCATATTTCCTCTCTCAGACATGCTGTCTTTCACATCCCATCTCACACTCACATACTCACTCACACACTCACTCTGTCACATTCCCTCACACACACTCACTCTACACTTTCTTTTTCACACCATCTCTCTCACATGCGCTCTCTTTCCCTCTGAGCACTCTTCGTCTCTCTCTCTCTTCTCCTCTCACATTCTCTCTCTCACGCTCTTGCCCTCTTTACGATTTCTCTCACACACTCTCACATGCGCTCACACTCTCACGCGCTCTCACACACTCACACATGGTCTCTCATTCTCTCACACGCTCTCTCTCACATGCCCTCTCTCATCTGTGTCTCTCTCCCTCATACACTCTGACACTCTCTCACTCTTTCTCTCACGCACTCTCTCTCTCTTTCTCTCTCTCACACAATTACTCTCTCTCGCACTCACTGTGTTCTCAGGATATCATTGACTCGGACGAGTTACTGGACGACGATGACTTGAGGAAGCCGGATACAGCCTCGCTCCGAGCGCTGGGATGTGGCGATGTCGCCGGCAAGAAGAAGAAAGCCTGTAAAAACTGGTCAGTGTTGGGGATGGGTTTGGGGCTGACTGGGCTGGGACTGGGGTTGTGGTTGGGGCTGGGTTTGGGCTGAGGTTGGGTTTGGGGTGGGGTTTGGGGTGGGGGCTGGGGTTGGCCTGGGTTTGAGATTGAGTCTGGGGTTGAGTCAGGGCTGGGGACGGTGTTTGGGGCTGGGGTTGTGGCTGAGGTTGGGGTTGGGGCTGGGGTTAGTCTGGGGTTTGGGCTGGTGCTGGGGTTGGGCTGCGATTGGGGTTGGCTGGGGCTGGGGCAGGGGTTTGGGTTGGTGCTGGGATTGGGGGTGGGGCTGAGGTTTGTACTGTGCTTGGGGTTGGGCTGTGTTGGGGCAGGGGTTTGGGTTGGTGCTGGGATTGGGCTGGGATTGAGGTTGGGCTGGGATTAGGTTGGGGTTTGGGCTGGGGCTGGTTTGGGTTGGGGTTGGGCTGAGTTTGGGGGTTGAGTTGGTGTTGGGGTTGGGGGTTGGGGCTGGCGGCTGGGATCGCGATTTGGAGTTGGGGTTGTGTTGGTGTTAGGGGTTGGTTTGGGGGTTGGGGCTGGATCTTGTTGTGTGAAAGCCAGAGTTTATTCTCCAGCACGTGTGGTCTGGCTGACGAGCTGGAGGTGACGAGCCAGAGTGAACGGAGGAAACCTGCAGCTACATCTGCCTGTGGCAACGTGAGTGATCGTCAGGGTGAGGGGGACCTCTCTCTCTCTCTCTGCTCCCCCTCTCTCTCTTTCTGCCCTCTCTCTCTCTCTTTCTGCCCTCTCTCTCTCTTTCTGCCCTCTCTCTCTCTTTCTGCCCTCTCTCTCTCTCTTTCTGCCCTCTCTCTCTCTCTTTCTGCCCTCTCTCTCTCTTTCTGCCCTCTCTCTCTCTTTCTGCCCTCTCTCTCTCTCTTTCTGCCCTCTCTCTCTCTCTTTCTGCCCTCTCTCTCTCTCTTTCTGCCCTCTCTCTCTCTATTTCTGCCCTCTCTCTCTCTTTCTGCCCTCTCTTTCTCTTTCTGCCCTCTCTCTCTCTCTCTATATATATATATATGTGTCTTCTCTTGCCCCCTCTCTCTGTCTTTGCCCTTCTGTCGGTCTGTCTGTCTCTCGCTCATTCTCTCTCTCTCCCTTTCTCTGTCTTGCCTTCTCTCTCTGTTTGTCTCCCTCTCTCTTCCTGTCTGCCTCTTTCTTTTCTCTCTCCACGCTCACACCCCCAGCTGGTCTGCTCTCCCCCTATCTCTGATTTTCTCTCTCTCTTTGGTCTTTCAGTTTCTCTCTGTCTGTCTCTTCTCTCTCAGTCCACACCCGGGGTCTGGTCTTTCTGTTTGTCTGTTTGTCTGTCTGTCTCTTGTTGCTCTTTGGAAGGAGCCACATCCCCCCCACCCTTCGCAAAATGTCCCTCACCCTTCACTCCTCCCACTAGCCTCTCTGCCTTCTCTGCTCCACCTCTCCGTCTCCTCCTCCCCTCCCTCTGCTCCAGCCTTGCCGTTGCTGATGTTTGTCCCAGAGCAGCTACCCCAACCTCCCCTCCCCCACTCTCTCCGCCTCACACACCCCCACACCAACATCCCCTCCCCCCAACCCCAGATCATCCAGAACTCTGCAGCCCGTGTCCTCTCCCGCACCCTATCACTCCCATCCTCACCCGACTCCACCGGCTTCCCATCACACAGAGGATACAGTTCAAGATCCTGGTCCTCACCTTCAAAGCCCTCCATGGCCTCGCTCCCCTCGACCTCTGCCACTTCCTAACCATCTGGCCCGCTTCACGCCCAAGCCTCACTTGCCCTACTGTTAGCGAGCAGGCCTTCTCCCACTCTGCCCCCACCTCTGAAACTCCATCCTACAGTCCCTCCGCCTTGCCGCCTCCCACCCTCCCCGTCTCCTTCAAGGCTCATCTCAAGGCCCTTCTGTTAACCAGGCCTTCGATCACCCTCCCCGCCCTCCACCCCACCAGATCCCACCACCTGCTTGGGTGCGTATCCTTGACTGTCCAGTGCCTGGGGACATCCTCCTGAAAGGCACCATGTAATTTGTAAAATGCAATTTGTTGTTGTTTTTGTTGATTCTCTCTGCCTCTCTCCCCACCCCTCTCTCTCGCTCTCTCTCTCTCTGTTTAGCTGCCTGTCTGTGTCCTTTCCTCTCTGTCTGTGTCCACCCCCTACTCTCTCTGTCTCTTTCTCTCGCACAGGCTTCTCTCTGTCTTACTGAATCTCTCTCTCGTTGGTCTATATGTCTTTCTTTTTCTCTTACCTCTTTATCTCTCTCTTTCTGTCTGTCTCTCTTGCTTTCTATTGTTCAGTCTCTGTCTCTCTGTCGGATGTCAATGCTTACTCTCAGCAATGATGGCTCCTCTCTTGCAGTGTTACCTTGGTGATGCGTTCCGTTGTGCAAGCTGCCCTTACATGGGAATGCCGGCATTCCAACCTGGGGAGACCATCCGGCTGACCCGAAGCACACTGGCTGATGCCTGAGGCTGTGAGGAGGTGGGAAGGAGGGAGTGGGTCCGTAGTGACAGCAGAACATGAGCAAACCTCGTCTCCACTCTCATGTACAAAAGAATGTGACACAAACTGGGCTGAGTTTGCCTGTTGGTCTGTGATTGTGTATGCAAATGTATGTACATATCTACATATATATATTCTGTACGCGTGAGCTGAACCTGGATGCATACCTGTGGTATATGTGCATCTATATGTGTATGTATACACCCAATTTGTACACTGTGTGTGCACACACATATATACACAGGTGTGTGCTGTACACGTACAGGGTAACCCAAAAGATGTGATATCATTACAGTGTCTAATAAGTCTTAAAGAAACAGTTTTTTTTAGATAATAGGGTAGATATCACAGATTTTTGATCACCCTACACATGTGCATGTGTGTGCTTGAATATGTATGTGTATGTGTGCATAGTGTACATACAAGCAGTTGTGTGCACAGATGGACAATGTGTGTTAGTGCTGCAGTTGTTGACTTATACGTATTCAGGGATTTACTGAAGACTTTCAATAAATGTTGGGAAAATAGCTGTGCTTTCCTGTACTTGTGGCGTGAGCATCTGCAGCAAAGCTCCACACAAACTCTACTCGGCTCCTGGGCAACACAAGAGGAGTCGAGATCTACTAAACCGATGGAACAGGCTCAATGGGCTGAATGACCTCTGCCAGTGCCTGTTCTGTATCTCATTGAATCTCTTCTGTACCCTCTGTTGAGCACAATTGGCTGCCGTGTTTCATACAGTAGACACTTTAGTTTATCCTGTGAAGTGCTTTGAGATGTCTTGAAGACGTCTTAAGGCGCTATATCAAATGGATTATTATTATTTATAGATTGACATATAGTGAGGTGGCTAAAACCTGGACACCTAGCTGCAGTTTAACCAATGAGGTAAACAAGTGATTTGCTTTGTTTTTTTAATTCTCTCTCTGTATAAAAGCCAGGATTCCATTTGCTTTCCCACTCGATCCCAGCACCACTGCTGTCCTCATTGATTGCCTATCAAGTCCTGGATAGCAGCTGACTTTCTTCAGTTGAATGTTGACAAGACAGAGGATTCCCTGCCCCCAGTGACTGTGTGATTCCGGTCAGCGCCTTCTCAACTCAGGAGCTGACAGCACCACTCTATATGGATGCATTCTACACATTACTGAGCACGTGTTTTTTTTCCCCAAGCCAGGTGTCTGACCCATTGGAAACCCATCACAATGCTTGAGAGATTACAAACCAAGCTGCGATTTCCACGCATCCCACTTGGAAACCCCAGAGATAGATTGTTGGAATGGAATGCTCTCTCTCTCCCTGGAGGGACGTATCCTGCTTACTTAATTCCGGAAAGTATAAGGTGCAGGTTGGCAAGAGCCAAGGCTTGGGGGACCTCAGCGTGAGTGTTGTGGTAACTGCTGGAGTCTAACCAGCTAAAACCGCATAGCTCATCATTGCTATTGCTGTCTGGCAAGCTTTCCCAGCCAGGCCCCCCCTCCCTGTTAGGGTTAACAGGAGCTGAGTGGGAGGATTCCCTGCTCCCAGTAACGCGTCTGCCCTAATGGGTCCTGCTGATCAGCCAGACTGGACTGTGATATCATCAGCATCGAGCACGTGCAGAACATCGATGGTTTGTTCAATTCCACAGTTCTTTAAACCTGTTCTGCCTTCCCCCACCTCAGCAACATCGCTCGGCTCTGCCACCATCTCTCCCCCAGGCCTAAGAGACATGGAATCATAGAATTATACCGCACAAAAGGAAGCCATTTGGCCCATCGTGTCTGTGCTGCTCTTTGAAAAGTGCTTCCAAATCAACACCACTCTCTCCCCATAGCCCTGATCAACCCCACTCCCCCGCTCTCTCCCCATAGCCCTGATCAACCCCACTCCCCCGCTCTATCCCCATAGCCCTGATCAACCCCACTCCTCCGTGCTCTCCCGATAGCCCTGATCAACCCCACTCCTCCGTGCTCTCCCCATAGCCCTGAACAACCCCTCTCCCCATAGCCCTGATCAACCCCACTCCCCCGCGCTCTCCCCATATCCAGCCTTGACGAAGCCAACTAGCTGCTCTCCGGATTCCCTGGCTTTTCCCTCCACAAGCTGCAGCCCGTGTCTCTCTCCCGGTGTCTAGCCAACGGGCTGATGTCCGGGGTCAAGTGACAGCAGAAATGGAGCCTGCGAAAGCAGAGAGAGGCCCAGTCTGTGTGGGAGCCTAGTGACACGGCCACTGGGAAATGGCCTCTAATATCCCTAACTTCCTACAGTTGAATGTCGACAAGACCGAGGCCCTCCTGATTGGTTCCCGTCAGCGCATCCTCACCTCAGACACTGGCAACATCACCATCCATAGATTAAGTCTAAACCTCACTGAACCAATGCAGAACCGTGGGGTCTTGGTTGACTATCCATTAAATCCCACACCCATTCCGTGACCCATTCCGCCTTCCCCAACCTCCACAACATTGCCCGTTTCTGCAGTACCTCTGCCTCTGCCCTCAGGCCACTGGCAACCCTCATTCACACTATCATCTCATCCAGGCCTGACTACGCTAACACCTTGCTTGTCGGTCTTACCAACTCTTCCCTCCACAAGCTGTAGAATGTTCGGGACTTTGCAGTTTATGTCCCCTCCCGCACCAGGCTCCATGACCCTATCACCCCCAACCTCGATCAGCTCCACTAGCTCCCCATTCCCCAGGGAATCAAGGTCAAAATCCCCATCCTCACATTTGAAGCCATCCACAGTCTTGCCCCATTTGACCTCTGTGACCTTCCAACCCACACTCTCCCTCCGCTTAGTAGGCTTCATTCCCCCACCTTGCCCACCCCATCATCGGCGGTTGCACTTTCATTCTTTCTAACCCAACTTTCTGAAACTCCACCTCGGAGCCTTGTCTCCTCACGCCTTCCTTTATCTTCTTTAATGTCCATTCCAACATCTTGCTCTTTGCCCGCGCCTTCAATCATCTTCTCCCCGCCTTGGCCTCCCTGACATTAAACACCAACGCTCAGTCACATCAATCTGCGAGATTTTATGCTCCATGTCACAGACTTTGTATTGAGTGTGGACGAGTTCTGCACCAATGTCTGGCTGAGCTCCTACTCTAATTCAGAGGCTGTTGTAATTAGGAGACTGAATCAATGGGTAGTTTTCTAATGAAATTTACTTAACAGAACCCACAGATACTCACAGAGATAGGAACATAGAAACAGGAGGAGGCCACTTGGGCCATCAAGCCTTCCCACCACTTCCCAAGATGGTGGCTGAGATGGTGGAGTTTACATTGCGCCTCTGATGCAGGTGTATTTGAGAAAGAGAGTAACCGTTACAAGTGGAGATGTTTTGTCACGGTGAGTGTTGGGGTGTAGTGACTGTGATGAGTTGTGACTGTGATGAGAGTGCAGTGACTGTGATGAGAGTGCAGTGACTATGATAAGGTGGAGCGCCTGTGATGAGCTGTGGTGACTGTGATGAGAGTGCAGTGACTGTGATGAGGTGGAGCGCCTGTGATGAGCTGTGGTGACTGTGATGAGAGTGAGGTGACTGTGATGAGGGTTTAGTGACTGTGATGAGTTGTGGTGACTGTGATGAGAGTGCAGTGACTGTGATGAGGTGGAGCGCTTGTGATGAGCTGTGGTGACTGTGATGAGAGTGCAGTGACTGTGATGAGGTGGAGCGCTTGTGATGAGCTGTGGTGACTGTGATGAGAGTGCAGTGACTGTGATGAGGTGGAGCGCCTGTGATGAGCTGTGGTGACTGTGATGAAGGTGCAGTGTGTGTGTGCCCAGGTCTATGGGGTGCTGAGACATGGTGTGCTGGGCATTGCGAGTGGCACACCAGGCAATTGGGCCACGTGGTCATCAAAGTCAAGGCAAACAAGCTGCTCCTTTTCTGTTTGGGACTGTGGGATATTATTGCAGGTCGTGTGTGGTGCCTGAGAGTGGGGATTGGGCCCCAGAAAGGCCGGGTTCAGTCTGTTCCCGCCGTGCAGGGAGAGTGTGGGGTCAGCGTGAGGACAGAGATACAATACAATTTACACTGATGCAGCACCTTCCACATCGGAAGGACATCCCAAAGTGCTTACACTGTGTCTGGGAATTAGACATGGAGGAGCTGCTGGGAATCCAAGTCACAGGGGTCAGTGGCTGAACTATTGACATCTGAACAGTGAAAACTGCCCTTCCCACTGACCGTACCACCGTTAGGGTATCAATCTCAGGGGTCCCAGACCCCGCCCCTCCTCCACTCCGCTCAGGATTTTACACTCTCTATTCTTTTTTCCAAAATGTATTACTTATCAGCTTTAAACTGCACCTGCCAATTCTCTGCCCATTTCTCCCGTCCATTGGCGCCCTCTTACACAATGCTTCCCACCATTTGCCAATCACCCAATTCACTGTCATCAGCAAAGGTGGTCCCACCCCTTCCTGTGCGCACGTCCACATCATTGATGTATAATGTAAACTGTAGCCGTCCCCGTCCAGAGCTTGGGCCACACACTGCCCGCCTGACACCCATTGGTCCCCACTCTCTGCCCTCACATCCTTCTATACACTCCATTACTTTAACACCTTTAACACCAGACTCCTTCACTTTAACACGAAGCTCCTGTGCCACACCTTATTCAAAGACTTTCTCGGAGTTCTTATACACAACCTTCCTCATCTCCGCTCCCAGTAATCTCCTCGAAACATTCCATTGCTCACACACCATCAGCATTTCATCAATAAGTTTATTAGATAGACATTGTAAACCTGAATCTGTACAAACTCTACACTCGCCGTTTACAGTGTGTGTTATAGGTCCATCATCAGCACAAAGTCGCAGGTGGATCAGTGTGACCCAAACACACAAGTGTAAAGCTGCCGTTCGCACAGCGAGTCTCGGCCAGTCTCACTCTCAGGCCGTATATGACTCAAAGCTCATTCCCACTCAGAGCCTCATGCTGTCCAGCTGCTGGATTCTGTCCTGAACCCATTGCTGCCGGGGATCTCCACACAACAGCTTCTTCTTCTTCGTCTCAAATCTGTCAAACAAATCAGTCTGGTTAGTGATGCCTCCATCAGCAAAGCAACACCAGCACAGGCCAGACATAGGCCAGACCCACACTAGGCACAGGCCTGACACAGGCCAGACACAGGCCAGACACAGGCCAGAACCAGAGTAGGCACACGTCAGACACGGCCGAGACCCACACCAGACACAGGCCAGACCCAAACTATGCACAGACCCAGACAAACACCAGACACATATCAGACACACACCAGACAGAGGCCAGACACAGGCCAGACACAGGCCAGACACACGCCAGATACAGACTAGGCACTGACCAGACACACATCAGACACAGACCAGACACACATCAGACACACAACAGACACACAACAGACACAGACCAGACATACACAAAACAAATACTAGACACAAATCAGACACACACCAGACAGAGGCCAGACATAGTCCAGACACAGACGGGGACACTCACATTATGGAGTCGTGTGTACAGTCATACGTAGCGCTGAGCAGCCTGTAGCC